AAGGTATTGAAGTTCCACAAAAATGAGAAAAATGTTCTAGCTTCTATATATAGTCATAATTCGTATACACATACACAGTAATTATAATAAGAATGTAATTGTATATAGGAGAAATTTATTTGGTACTAATGTTTTATACTTACATTTACTGAAGTAATACAATTCTGGAACAAACTCTCGGAATATTCATTCAGTCATAGGGTTTGAAAAATTTAAAAGGCCTTATGAAATCTAGAGTTAGAATTAATTACTACTTAACATCCTTAGATTTATGGCCAATTGTTTTTTTAACAATGATACCATAAGAAATCAATAGAAAAAGAGTAGTCTTTTCAACAAAAGACTGGGACAACTGGGCATTTATACTTTAAAAAGGTGAATTTGGAACCTTACTTTACACTATCCAAAAATGAAAACTCAAAATGAATCATAGATTTAATTAAAAAAAAAAAACTCTTAAAACAACAAAACATAAGAGTAAATCTTCATAACCTTGGATTAGGCAATGAGCTCCTTATATACAACATCAAAAGCACCAATGTTGGAAGAGGGGAAAAAGGGATAAGATGAACCTCATCAAAATTAGCCGAGTTTAGACATATTTCCTCCTATTCTTGGGAATTTGAGAAGAAACTTCAAAAGATATCATCAAGAAAGTTGAAAGACAAGTCACAGACTTGGGCAAAATATTTGCAAATCAGGTGTCTGATGTGATACTGATATTTAGAATATTTAAAGAATATTTGTAATTCAATAAAAAGACAACCCAGTTTTTAAAAAATGGGCAAATGATTTGAATGCACATGTCAGTAAAGAAGATACACAGATGCCCAATAAGCACATAAAAAGATGCTTGTCATTATTAAGAAAATGCAAGTCAGCCGGTCTTGGTGGCTCAGCCTGTAATCCCAGCACTTTGGGATGCTGAGGTGAGTGGATTGCCTGAGCCCGCGGGTTCGTGACTTGCCTGGGCAACTTGGTGACACCTCATCTCTACAATAAATCAGAAAGTAGCCGGGCGTGGTAACACGCGCCTGTAGTTCCAGCTACTTGGAAGGCTGAAGTGGAAGGATCGCCAGAGCCCAGCAAGTCGATGCTGCGGTGGCCGGGAGCGGCCACTGAACTTCAGTCTGGGCGACAGAGTGAGACTCCAACTCAAAAAAAAAAGAAAGAAAGAAAATGCAAGTCAAAATCTATGGCATTTTCCATACCTATAGAATAGCTATAAAAAAGACAGCCGATAAGAAGTGTTGATGAGGAAGCAGAGAAACAGGAACTCTCATATATTACAGGTCGAAATGTAAAATGGTGTAGTCATTCTGGAAAACAGTTGCACAGTTTCATAAAATATTTGAGATTTTATAGCCTGCAGCTTCACTGAATTTGTTTATCAGTTCTAACAGTTTGTTTCTTTTTTTTTTTTAGTAGTCTTTAGGGTTTTCCATATATAAGTTCATGTAATCAGCAAACACAAATTCTTCCTTTTCCATTTTGATGCTTTTTATTTCTTTTTCCTTCCTGATTGTTCTGGCTAAGTCTTCCAGTACTATGTTGAATAGAAATGGTTACAGTGGCATCCTTGTCTTGCCTGACCTTAGAGAAAAAACTTTAAACTTTTCACTGTTGAGTGTGTTGTTAGCTATGGGCTTGTAACATATGGCCATCATTGTACTGAGGTGCATTTTTTCTATACCTATATTGTTGAGAAGTTTTATCATGAATGATGTTGATTTTTTGTTGAAAACTTTTTCAGCATCTGTTAAGAGGATCGTGGGGTTTCTTTCCTTCATTTTGTTACTATGATGGATCACATTTATTGATTTACATATGTTGAATTGTCCTTGTACCCCTGGGATAAATCTCACTTGATCATGTGAGTGATCTTTTTAGATGGATTCCGTTGCTAGTATTTTGTTGAGAATTTTTTCATTTATGTTCATTAGGGATTTTGTCCTGTAGCTTGCTTTCTTATAGTGCCCTCTCTAGCTTTGATATCAAGGCAATTCTGACCTTGTTGAATTATTTTAGAAGCATTCCTTCCTATTCACTTTTTTGAGAGTTTGAGAAGAATTGTTATTAGTTCTTTGAATGTTTGGCAAAATTCAGCAGTGAAGCTATCAGATCCTGGAATTTTCTTTAATGGCAGACTTCCTATTAATTACTCAGTTTTTTTAACTTATTACTTAATTGGGTCAGATTTTTCTACTTGTACACTTACAACAATCTATCCAGAAAACAAATTAGAAAAATAATCCTATTTATAGTAACATTAAAATTTTTCAAAAATTAGGAATAAATTTAACCAAGGAGATAAAAGATCTGCAAACTAAAAACTATAAAACATGGATGAAATAAATTGAAGAAGACACAAATAAATGGAAATGTATCCCATTTTTATGGATTGGAAGAATTAATATTGCTAAAATATCCAAACTACCCAATTCCTATCAAAATTACGTCATTTTTCAAAGAAACAGAAAAAATACTCTAAAACTTGTATGAAACTATTAAAGATCCTGAATAGCAAAACAATCCTGAACAAAAAGAAAAAAGCTGGAGGCATTGCATTCTCTGATTTCAAAATATATGATAAAGCTATTGTATCAAAACAGCCTGGTACTGTCATAAAAACAGACACATCAGCCATTGGTATATAAAGCCCAGAAATAACACAGCTATTTACTGTCAATTGATTTTCAACAAAGGTGGCAAGAACACACAATGGGAAAAGGACAGTCTCTTCAATAAATGGTGTTGGGAAAACTGGGTATCCACATGCAGAAGAATGAAATAGGATCTAATCTCATACCATATACAAAAGTCTACTCAAAATGGATTAAAGGCATACATATAAGATCCAAAACTATAAAACTAGTAGAAGAAAACATAGGGAAAAATCTTCTTGACGTTGGTCTGGGTAAAGATTTTTTGCATATAACCCAAAAAGCATAGACAAAAAAAGCATTAAAAAAAAAAAAAGGAATTGCATCAAACTAAGAAGCTTCTAATAATCTTTAATTAGAGTTTTTCAACTATTTTTAATTAACGTAATTATTGACAAGGATGGATTTATACTTACCATGTTGCTATTTGTTTTATATCTTTCTTTCTTTCTTTGTTTTTTGAGTTGGAGTCTAACTCTGTCACCCAGACTGGAGTGCAGTGGCTACTCCCGGCCACCACAGCCTCGACCTACTGGGCTCCAGCGATCCTTCCACCTCAGCCTTCCGAGTAGCTGGAACTACAGGCGCGTGCTATCACGCCTGGCTAATTTTTGATTGATTGTAGAGATGAGGTCTCACCAAGTTGCCCAGGCGGGTCTTGAACCCGCGGGCTCAGCAATCCACTCACCTCAGCCTCCCAAAGGCGCGGGATTACAGGCTGAGCCACCGAACCCGGCTTATATCTTTATTTTTATGCCTTTGATAGAATTGATTTTTTTGTTTTCATTTTATCTTTATTATTGTGAATTTATTATAAAAATGTATTAGTAATTGCTTTAGGATTTGTAATATACATCTTTGATATATCATGTTCTGTCTTCAAATAATATGCCATTTCAAGTATAATATAACATATATACTTTCATTCCTTCTCTCATCCTTTGTACTATTATTGCCATACATTTTATTTAAACATAGAGTGTAAACTTTACAATATAGTGTTAATATTTTTACTTTACAGCCATTTAACTTTTAAAGAAATTTAAACATTAAAAAATGTCTTTTACATCTATCCCTCAGCTATAAATTTGTGATGTTCTTCATTTCTTTTTTTGTTTTGTTTTTTTGGGGGGTCAAAGTCTTATTCTGTCACCCAGGCTGGAGTGCAATGGCACACTTATAGCTCACCACAGCCTTGACCTGCTGGGCTCAGGTGAACCTTCTGCTTCAATCTTCCAATTAGCTGGGACCACAGACACATGCCACCGCACCTGCCAATTTTTTGATTTTTTGTAGAGACTGGGTCTCACTATGATGCTCAGGCTTGTCTTGAACTCCTGGGCTCAAGCAGTTCTCCTGCCTGGGCCTTCCAAAGTGCTGGGATTGCAAGCATGAGCTTCTACATCTGGCTTTGTTCTTCATTTCTTTGTGTAGATTTATATTTATATTTATGTCTTATTTTTTCTACTTTAAGAACTTCCTTTAACATTTCTTGTAATACATGTTTGATGGCAGTTAATTACCACAGCTTTTGTTAATCTGAAAATGATTTGATATCACCTTTTTTTGGAAATATATTTTCACTGGCTATAGAGTGTTAGATTGATGATTTTTTTTCCGTAACTTTAAAGATGTTGTTCTATCTTGATTTGGCTTGCATAATTCCTGCCAACAAGTTGCTGACCTCATCTTTGTTTTTCTGTATTTTATACTTTTAAAATTTTCCCCCTACATTATATGACTTTTATTCTACTCTCTCTCAGTGGCAGTGCTACTTTGTCTGGGACTATGATAGGAAGGTGTTATGCCCCTACTCCAGGCCTAGACTATTTTTGCTTGTTACTTGGCAAAAGCTGGGGCAGACAACTGTATTTCTACTCCTTCCCCTGAGGCATGAGATCTTTGCTTGAGCTCTAGAGTGGGACATCATTCTTTTTTAGTGATTTATTTTTTAGTATGTTTTCTGGTTTATGTTATAAAACTTACACTAACACATGTAAGTAATTTACAAATTAAAATGCCAATATAGGGGGCATGCATTCAGCAGTTCTACTGATCAGCATATTTGGAGGCCACTGCTTTAGAGGGTCTGAATTAATAACTCTGATAGATTTTAAGTAGAATTTGCCACTTGCTTTTTGATTTGATGATAACATGATTCAGATGATTCACTTTATTTCCGTAAGTTCATTTATAAATGGAAAATGTTTTACAGTGCAGGTCTTGTTTTATTTTAAAATAATAATTAGATTTAAAAGGTGAGGCAATCTTTATGGACTCTTTCCTATTTTAAACTCCTTTCTTTTTTATAAATGAAAGTTTCCTGATTCTTTTTAGAACTGTGAGAACGTGGGAAGTTGAAAATCCAAAGAAGCAAAAAAGTGTGTTTAAACCACGGACGATGCAGGGTAAAAAAGTCATCCCCACTACATGCACATATAGTAGAGATGGAAACCTCATAGCAGCTGCCTGCCAGAATGGAAGCATTCAGATCTGGGACCGAAATTTAACTGTAAGTCAAGTACATTTAAATCTTTTTTCCTTAGAACATGAGCACCTTATAAGACAAACATTGTGTTACAATATTATGAAGGTCTATTTGTTGAGTTTAGACCTAATTTAAACTTCAGTGTTAGTTGATCAAACATTAGGACTTTTGCAATAAACAGTATTTCAGCAAACATTCCAACTCAGTATTTTCCAGTGCATATTAGATTGTGTTTTTACAATAAATTTGCTCCTTTGGTATAAAATTTTTAAAACATGGTGTATTTTATTATGTAGTATCTCAATTTACTTGATTTTGAAAGTGAAGTGTTTGACAGTGATCAAAATAAGACTAAGCAGAGAACTAGAAAATGTTCTTCAACAAAAGATTTAAGAAAATGCAAAAAGTCCAAGATGAGTCATCAGTTGTTTTGCAATTATTTCTATAGCAATTTAAATAATATTTTATTTTAGTATTCCATGACATTCCAGTTGAATAGGCTTCAGGTTTTTTCTTTGCAGTTTTTGGCCATTATCAGAATAAATACATTTTGAAATCGGAAGGGATGATGGAATCTATAGAAATAATGAATATGAAAGTCCTTGCTAGCTCTGAATTACCAGCAAGCTTTAAAAGGGGTTTTGTTTTATGTAAAACAAAAATATTTTTCAAGGGAAATGAGTCTACATTACCAGTGTTATAAATAAAATTCTACACAAATGTTATAATACAACTTATATGTCTTTGTTTTAATAAAAAGTTCTGGTCAAATTTTTAATTCAACAAATATTTATTGAATACATACTATGTGCTAGGTACTATTCTAGGTGCTGAGAATATTTATAAAAAATGTCTGCCCTCATGGAGTTTTCATTTTGCATTTAAAAAAATTATGATAATATTCTGTTAACCTTTGTCCATCAACATTTACATTTTGAAAAGGACCTCAGGAAACATAGTTGTTTTTTTCAGGCAGATGTGTGAAAGACAGTTCTATTAGAAGAAGGTAAAAAGTAATGATGGGGGTTGGGGGGAATCCTTGCTGATAATGCTGAAAATATCTTTGGCATTTTCTGTTTGTCAGATCTTTTTATTTCTGTTTTCATCTCCATTGTAAACCCCATAAAGCTTCATAACAGCACAGAGATTTTAAAACTCCTTTGAATTGTAAACTGAATTTTAACCAAGCAATAAATTTTTTTCGTAACTGGCTTTCATCGTCTCTGGGTACTGTTGATTTAAACATAGAAATTCTAAAATGTGCAGATTTCTTGTGTGGCTTTAATAATAGTGGTTTTGGTATAGCGCGTATATATGTCCCTTTCTCTTAGAAACCATATATTTTTATAAAATTGAATATAGTTTTTTTTTTTTCATTAATCAGTATTTTTTATTATGGTTTTGTGGGGTACAGTTAAGGGTTAGGTGTACAATTACGTTTCAT